GCGGCGGCTTCACGACCTCGTTGTTTGTTTAAAAGCTAACAGCAAACATCCCGTCGTGTTTACTTCGGCGCGAGCCTCCGGAGGGGAAACGTCGCGATCGATCACATGACGGGCAACAAAAAAAAAACTAAACTAAATAATGAAAGTTGTCGGCGTGAGCGCAGAAGGAGGCGACTGGATGTTCCCCCTTAAAAACAAATTATCAGAAACAAACAGAAACCAATAACCTGTTCACGCCTCCTCCTCCTCCTCCTCCTCCTCCTCCCACTAAATGTAAAAATTTTCCATCGACACCCTGCAGCCATAAACGGCAGAAAATATGAAAAGAGAAGAGAACAACATCAACAAAGCGGGGGGGGATGAGATTTCACTGTGAGGGCGAAAATGAGAAACGACATAATAAAGCGATTCTATTAAAAAGCCATCTGACCGTTAATAAAAGTAATGATTTGATGAGAACGTCCCGCCGCAGAGCCAGAGGCGGCGCAGGAGGAGGAGGTTCGACCGGCTTTTATTTTTATGCTCCGACATTGCAGAGAAGGAACGATGAGGAGTGTGTGCGTGCAGAGGAGGGCGACAACATAAAAAACAATTGCTGCCTCTCCCATCTCTGACTTAATGAGATTTGGTGGCTGCCGCCGCCGCCGCCGACGTGGCCGAGGCTCAGGTATTATTTGTTGTTGGAGGTGATGGCAGGATTGGATAAAACACACATCTCGCAGCGAGACGTCGGCTTTCTCATCTGCTGCAGAATATCAGACTCGCCTTCTGTCAGTCTGCGGCTCCATATGCTGCATACTGAGAGACACGCATTTACATCGCAGCCGCAAACGGTGACATTTGTGAGCAGCGTGAGGCCGAAGTCTGAGGCTGGAGACGGGCGTTCTGATCCACCGGGCTTCAAAGGCAGCGCCGCACGTTCATCTCATGTTAACTCGGCAGCAATTACAGCATCTCCAGCTGTATGCAGATGTGGGCGCCCTGAGTGGATGACGTGTTTTGTTAATTTTTGCAGTGAAAAGAGGAAACCACAGGCCCTGCAGCAAGAACACTTAGTTCAAATATTAATACACTTTGATTCTGTGAAGCAGAGCAGTTTCAGAAACAAGCGTTCAGAGGAAAAAGAAAAGAAAAAAAAAAAACAGGTTAAACTGTGAACTGACGAGTTTGGTTTAAACATCAGTTCAAATGTTCCTAAAGTTCAGAGGTTAGGTCGAAAAAAAGTATAAAAAGTTCTATAATTCAGCTCCGTTTGCTCAAGATTCACATCAAAACTCTGCTTTGTATTCTGTCAAAACCTAAAAGAGTGAAAGTGTTTATGGAGATAAGATACG